TTTCTAACATTCCAGTATTTCCAGCAAAGATTATTATTAGTAAAGCAGTTCTGGGAATCTCTCATAATCCCAAGATTCAGAAGGCCGACTGGAAATGCTCTACATGTCAGTCAATTCATTCTGTAGACTGAATAAACAGTATGACGTGTATTCATTCAGTGAAATTCTACACACTGACAGAAAGCATGGATGAATCTGAAATACATTATTCTGAGGAAAGAAGTATCTTATTTTATTGTGTTTTAAGTTCCTTCTTTCATGTTTTTAATAAATTTTAAGTTTAAAGTTTTTAGCTGACAATATTATTCCAAGGATCAGGGCACATCTCATCCTGCCGTCCGATGCATAGTTTCCATGTGTTATTTGTAATTTTGCATTATGAATTCATCTGTGTGGGACCTTATCGATAGCAATCTTTATGCCAGGTGGAGGATGTTTTCAATGATAGTTCTGTGCTTGTTTCTGCTAATATTTTTTATGAATATTTCTTGGTTTGGAGCCTATGAAGTAAATTCTTACTTCAATTTGTATAAGGTTAGGCCCATATGATTTCTCAGGGACGTCTATTGTTTTTCAGCACAAACACCTTTCTTGTAGTCTCCACGTGCTATTGATGTTTTTGTGTGTTTGTTGCATGTACGATGTAGCTGGGAATCGTATGCAACTTTAGTTCCAACATCCCACCTTACTACAGGAGAGACCTTGAATCCCATTAATATATGGCCAATAAAACACACACTCTCGGGTGACGCAGGGCAGCAGCTCTCCATCAACTCCACCAGGGCAGGCCCAGGCCCAGGTCTATTTCCTTGCCTCATGGTTATTGGCCCCTGCACATTTTTTTTTTTTTCTTTCGCTGTCAGCGATGCCTTTAAAAAAATGCCAGTTACACTTTAGCCAACATTTCTAGTTGTTGTAGTTGGAGGGCTTTCCATTTTTCTGCTCCACAATATTTGTGAACTAAGTTTTAGAAATGCTAAAGTGTTCCTTGGGAATTCATAGCATTAGCCCGCTAAAAGGTCGACATTGTTCCTTTTGGAAACAATGTACTTTGAGATCTCTCCTGACTTGGGTTTACCCTAAATCACTTTGGTGTTTGCATATTATGAATTAGGCAGTTCTCCTTGTTCAAGAATAGTCAGGAGTTTATCTGTTTCTTGAAAACACTACTTTAACCTGTCACTAAGATTGTGCTGTACTCAGAGGACAGGGGGTTTATCCTTCTGCTACAGCATGAGTAGACCTGCAGTCTTAAAACAAATGTCAATACTATTCATATTTGTTAAAAAGCATAGAAAAAAAAGAAGAAATCACCCTTTATGCCACTTAAAAGGACAATTTTTAAGGAGGTAACCCTACTGTTAGGAGGTAACCCCACTTTTCCAGTAGAAGAATAAACATCCGGAAGGATGATCAAATGACTTGATGCTATAGTTTGATCATATGGCTTTGCCCACAGCTGGTATCCATTTATGGGGTAGTCAATGATATGAAATCTTAGAATACCCCATATAATATTGTTATTAGTCAAAATAGTTAATAGTCAATGGTCAATCCTTAAACTGCTGGTTTCTATTTCTATTAGATTGAGACTCATGCTTAGAATTTACTGCACGGAGAGCTGGCGTTTGAAGAACAATCCCATAGAATGACAGCGCCATAGAATGTGAGCCTAGCAGGTGGTTCCTTTTGGGGTACAAATATGCTCTGCGTTGATCCCAATGTCTCTACTCTAATAACTAAGTATAATAAGTAAATAACTAATTATATAATAATTAAAATTAATATAATAAAAATGATATGCCCTACCAGTAACAACAGAACGCAAAGAATTCTGATGGTAAAAATCTTTCCAAAGGGTAATTTGTGATTAACACGATTAATCAGATAAAATCACACTTAGGGAGTTTTATGGAGTCTATAAATTTCTGATTTCAATATATACTGATTTCAAAGATATTAAAATGGGAGATAAAGCTCATGGAAAGACTAATAAGAAACTAGACCACTATCAACTTCCCCATACATAGGGAAAATGAAACTCAGATTCTGCCCTGATGGCTCCACAAAGAGCCCCCCATTGGGATAAAGGCTAGTCCTATTTCTCCACGTGTGCAGATTAAAGATTGCTTGTGTGTGTCTAAGGAATCCCAAATCCATCTCTGCCTCAACAATTCCTAATCTGGCCCTCCTGGTCACATGTTAGCACCTAAACCTTCAGCCTAGGTCAGGTTCCTTTTTGAATAAATTCACATAGCATTCTCTTAAGTCTTCCCTTTAGAACTCTTATCTGTCTTATTAATGTCCATCTTCCCAAGTAAAATATGAATTCTGTGGGAGCACACCACTCACAATTTGAAAACTCTGGTGTCTTGAAGACCAGTAATGGCAAAGCCCAGGAGGAAGACAACCAGCACTGGGCGCCTGTGTAGTCTTCTCTCCTGCTGCCTGAGCATTTGTACTATTTTTCAGGCGCTTACCCCTGTGAGGCACAAGGGTTACAAAGGTAGGGAAGATGAAGTCATCTTGGCAGAGATGACATATCCCAGCCTCCTTTTCGGAAAGGTGTGACCCTGTAACTAAGTCCTCTCGCAGGAAATGTGGCCAGAAACGGTACCTGTGTGCCTCTTGGCAGCCTGCCCTTCACATCTCCCAGGGATGCTCCTCCATGCACTCGTCCCGACTGGCTGGGATGAAAGTGGCCACAGCCACCGCAGAAGCCACATACGTTAGAGAACAAAGTCTTCCTTGGCCCAGGTCCCAGGAAAACCTGCCTGAAGCAGAGCCACGACTGTCTGGGATGCCTGAGGTGGGGTAAGTGAAACGGTAATACAGTTCTTGTTCTTGAAGGCCCTGAGATTGGGGGGGTCTGTGAACACAGTCTAGACTAGCCTATACAGTTATCAATCTCAAGTTCACATGTTCTAAGAAGGAACTCCTGTTACTGTGGAATGTCCCAAAGAACCTTCAAAGACAGGGGTAAAGCAGGGGTTGCAATGTTAACTCAGTGCTGTTGGCATCCAAAGGTTCTGCTCCCACCAAGGATGTGCAACCAAGTTCATGTAGGCTGAGACACTGCATACTGGGTATTTTTCCCTCTACAGACATGTATTCTGAGCCAATTTCTCTGAGGGAGGGACTTGATGGTATGGAAATGTAATCGCGGTCTTCTTTCTACACATTCCTCCCTACTGTTTTTCAAAAGTGAAAAATTTAATCTCCATTAATTTAGTCCCCAAAGATGTCTGTAAGGGTCACCTCACCTCCTTTGTGCTTTTCCACTGCTATCGTGACAGATGTGTTGGGTGCGGTCTTCTGAATACCCGAGGACACCAGGTCGGCAGTGTCCTGAAGGATTGACAGTCTCCTTTACCATCTGCCCTGGCCACCCTAGCCCTCAGGACACAGGGAGACCTGAGAGGTGAGTGCAGTGAACTTCTGTGGACAACACACTGTGCTGTGACAAGGAGCCCTCTGATGGTCCTCCATGGTTCTGTGCACTTTCCAGAGCTGACAAAGGCACATGGTTTGGGTATCATCAAGTCAAGACGAAGGAGATAAAGAAGAAAAGTGAACAGAAGAATGGAGGATGGATACAGAGAAAAATTCTCTTTCACAAAGTCATATTTTTCACTTCCTAGGCAAATAATTTTTGTGAAAATAAAAGCAATAGATGGTTTTGTTTTTACTTACTTACCACTATCATTAGGGTTTGAGGTGAATGTAAATTTACAGAAAATGAAAACACAGGATCAAGGATTATGTACAATTCTGTGATTAAGGTGCTTTGCAATTCAGGCAATGTACTGCTAGAAACTCACATCTTGATTCCAGCTGCTGCAGATACTATTTGAGGAAGCAAATAATACATGGATGAAGAGAAAAATTATTAAGTATCACTGGGCTAAATAATCAAGACTACTACAAAGAATATAAATAATAAATTTATAATGTATTGCAATACAAATAAGTATTTTCAGTATAAAAATTGCATTTGCACAAAAAAGCTATTTAGTAACAAATACAATTAAACTACATTGGAAACACATCAAAGGTATACGAGTCACATATACAGTATCACAGTTCACAGGTAACTTTACTGAGAATAAGCCATCTGAAGGCCATGCCCTGATCTGAAGGGATCATAGGCTTTAGAACCAAACTGGACCTCCTGGTTCAGGAAAGCTGTCAGAGGTTCATCAGACTGGATGACTCCACATCTGGACCTTCAGGACAAGCTATGATCCTCATGAAGACCAAAACGTAGGACTGAGGTAAAGACATACTAAACAAGGAACTTCTCTGTTGGCACAAAAGATGTACATGAATACTTTCCAAAATGTTGTTACATTTGTCAGGATGGGTCTACCCCACATTTATAACGCTGGCAGAAGTAACACTTCAACATTGAGCTAAAAGACAGATAAATATTGATACATTAGCAAAAGCACCAATCTCCTTTCTTTCTCCCAATTTAATAAGGTTGTATGCCAAAATCTCAGGTGCCCCTACCCTATTATTTTTGTTTTAATCGTCACCTGAGGATATTTTTTCCATTGTTTTTTAGAGAGTGGGAGGGAGGGGGAGAGAAACATTGATGTGAGAGAGACAGACATGTCAATTGACTGCCTCCTGAACATGCCTTGACCAGGGCTGGGAATCGAACCTGCAACCCAAGTAGGTGCCCTTGACTGGGAATTGAACCCATGACCCTTTGGTGTGCAGGCCATTACTCTAACCACTGAGAAACATTGGCCAGGGCTTATCTACTTTTTTTTTACTCTTTCATGTTTCCCATACTATAAAAGCAATACACAGGCTCCATTGTTGAAGGACTTGGTAATAAAAAGTTACATGTTAAGTACTTTCCCTGAAGGACTTTTGTTTTTAATCCCCACAGGAGGATATTTTCAGATAGAGTGGGAGGCATGGAGGGAGAGAGAGAAACATCAATGTGAGAGAGACACATCAATTGGCTGCTTCCTGTATAACAGGGCCGGGGATCAAACAGCAACTGAGGTACATGCCCTTGACCAGAATCAACACTGTAACTCTTTGGTCCTTGGGCCAATGCTCCAACCACTGAGCAAAACTGTCCAGGCCCTGAGAGACATCTTCATCGTCTACCCCAAAGGTGTTACAGGATGCAGGTTCCGCAGGTGTATGTATACCCAAATCATGTCGCAACACTGTTAGCTATCAAGGGGTTTCGGCCATAAATAGCTAAATTTTGGCTTTCTCCAATGTCAAAAGCCAACCTGGCCAAAGCTTGTTCACTTTTCCTTACAGTAGTTATCTTGAATTTCTTCCTGTAGAGGCCGGAGGCTGGCAGGGGTCGTTTGCATGAACGGAGGTTGTGAGCTGAGTGAGTCTGCCTCTCACCCATTCAATGCTTCTACTTCAAGGGAAGGGGCTGCCCGTGTGTTACCCCGATATGAGCTCTCTAAGCAAGTTGGGATGGTGCAGCAGATCCAGCAAGAGCTGAGGAATAAAAGAGACTAAGAAAAAGGCAGCTAGAAGTTCAGCCTTTCCTTCCAATCAATGAAAAGGCGCCCTGCTCCAACTACTCACCCAGAAACCACCACACCCCGACTTCAAAACCAGGTACTTTTAATTCACCTACCTTAGATTTATACAAAATACTAATGTGTAATTAAATACTGATATTACAATATAGGGAAGCATGATTACTTTTTACTTTTTAAATCAAAATCATGTTTCCATGCACTTCTGGAATAAATATATTATCTATAAGAAATACCCTTAAAATCCTATTGAAATGTTAATCTAATTTCAAATTATTTTAGGTTGACTTTTTCCCTTTTGTTTTATACAATCAGTACTGAAAACAAACCTAAAAGTCTCAAGTGGAAAGACATGAAATTAGATGTGTATTTATCAGACCATTTGGTAAAAAACCCACTTTTGCCAGGATGTTAAAAAACAAACAGGAAAAATAGTTCTCATAGCCAGACATTTAAACTTTTAATGAATTTTCTTCTCCAAGATGGTTTTTCTCCCCTCACTCCAATATTTTTAAATATTGCTGAGAAAGAAAATACATTTTCTCTTACAAAATTATATAATTAGATACTATTCGGGGTCCAATTGGAAATTGGCCTTACATTTCTAAAAAGCCAAAGTAGATTGTATGTCTTCATTCCTTCCCCTCTAGTCAAATACTCCATTTAAAAAAATTATTATGGGGGGAAGATTATACAGAAAAGTCCAACTGAAAGTTTTCTTAGTTTATAGCTCTGAACTTGAACTTGATGATCTTTGAAAACATGATTCCGCTGATTGTAAGAGAACCCCGTGAAGGAGGGCGTGCCCAGTGAAGGAGGGCGTGCCCAGCTCAGCAATGATCCAGAGAGCTTCCCAGATTCAGGGAGCTGGAGCTGCCACCATCAGAACGATGGCACTTTGGGTTAAGATGTGTCAGGGACCTACCTGGTGGGAGGGAAAGGACATGAGCAAAAACCAAGATTTTCCCATCCCACAGTTTTCTGACAGCCTCAAACTTGAGGTTGTGTTGCTCTCTGAAGAGAAAAACTATTGGTGACTCTTTCTTGGAGGAGGAGGGATCAAAGCATTTTATTGAGGGTGCTCCGCAGAGGGTAAAGGGCTGGGAGGAGAGATCGGACGTCCTCGGCCCGGCCGGGATCTCCCCAGCATCACAGCTGCCCAAAGCTGGAGACTCAGTGAACCGCACCGTGCTATGGTATGAAGCTGTCAGAGAACTGAAGTGGAAGATGAAAAATAACCAGCTCTAAAAATTAGATTCTGGCAGAATAAAAACTCCTTTTGTGTGAGGCTTGCAACAGGCTCGTTCACGCACAGGACAGCTCGTCTCAGAACCTCCCCCACCCGTGACCCCGTGTTCAAAGTTAAGTGAGGAAAGGGTTATCTAAACAGCAAGATAACAGTACACTGCATGTTTCTTTTTTAAAAGGACAGAAACTTCTGACTTTCATAAGCCTGCACTAGTTATTATTCTGTCTGGACCCAAGGGGTGTAGAATCAACTTTAGTCATCTTTCATAAGTTTGGAATCTAATTTTATGAATTTATTCTAAGACATAAATCAGGTAAGCAGAAGTAGATGGATGGATTTTTTAAAAGAAATTGGGTCCCCTGGGTACTTTTAGTAGATTGAGCATTGAGAGATTTACAGGGATAAAATTCTTTACAAGATTAAGGAAGAAGGAAATGAAACCAAATCTTTCATTTCCACATATTCAATTTCATTAATTCTTTCCCCAAAAGCACATCACTAAAGGAAAACCTGAAATGGTCTTTCAGTTATTATGAAAGTGGTTCAAGACCAGGGAACCCCTTGGGATGAAAACAAAACACCACCATACTCCAGTTGTCTTCACAAGACTACCTTGTACTGGAGAGACTTAGGGACTTGGGGGTTGAAAAAGAATATTGCTAAAGAAACTTTTTGAAAAAAATTACTACATTTTTGGCAAAAAACAACCAAACTCTCCCGTGAAACCCCTACTTCTGTTGACTCTGGAGGTGACGGCACTGCATCCGAGCAGCGGGGCAGTCCTGGCCTCGCGGGCTGCGGGCTCTGATGACCTGCACCCTAAGTGGACCAAAGCAGCTGGTGTCGCCCGGCTGCTGTCTGAGTCCGCTCACTAGGAGTGCTGTGAGGGGTGTAGGGAGCCCGCAGGCCCACGGTGGGAAAGCTGAAAATGTCAAAGGTGAGAAACAAAACATAACAAAGGAAACAGAATCGGGATGTTCCAAGCTCCTTTCCACAATGATCCAGGGCCTCTCGATGTCTACCTCTAAAATGGTGGCCCTGTACTATGATGCCTGATGTTTCTTACAGAGTGAAAAAAGTAAATACTTAACACGAGGGGAAGCCAGACTCCTGCTACATGTGAGGATGACCGGGCTGCCCGGCTTCCAGCCTCTGGGGCTGCAGCCTTGGGGATGAACAGTCCTCACAGGGGCTGGCGCTGCTTCCTCTGGTCAACACTCTCCAGCCCCAGGTACATAAACTTGTGCCCACCCCAAGCCCCCAAACATATCCTAACACCACGCATCCTGATTGTCATGCCTGAAAGATTCTCATTAATATAATTAGGCTTAATGCCGAGACTACATGACTAGAGACCGTTTTTAAGGAGCAGCTTGCCCGCCCAGGAACGATGAGGATTTGGTTTAGACTGCAGACCACAGGGAAGGTGGCACCTGCCTCTGCTCTGTTCCGGGAAACACCGCCTGCACCCCTATGGTCCCTTATCGGCATGCTGACTTTTGCGCTGCCTCAGGGTGTCTTCCGCCACCTCTGAGTCAGTGGAACGAGGCTGCTCAGGGGCACCTCCTGTGGTCTCCTCAGGTCCTACTACGTCCTCCTGGGCCTCCCGCAGGGGCCCCTGCTTCTGGCTGTCACTCCTCTCCTCATCCACACCGGCAGCCAGGTGGTCCTCCTCCTCCTCTTCCTCTGCTTCGTCCTCATCGCCAAGGTCTTCTTTCTCTTCCTCGTCATCTCCAAGGCTGTCCTTGTTTTCATCTTCATTTGAATCATCTTTCTCGTCCTCTGCATCCTGCAACTGTTCAGCCCCATGAGCCTCATCTGACTGCCGACTCTGCTCTGTGGAGGGAAGAGGGAAACCACCTCTGAATGAACAATGCTCATTCAGCAGTCAAATAGTTGTGTTCGGCTGTGAGATAAAATGGGGTAGGGCCACATGAATGTTTTCTCCAGCTTAAAGCTGTTGATCCCACAGGACACATCTCTGGTTGGCATCCTAGCCCCATCCAGGGCTTCTCCACCCCACTCAGGAGATTCACTGACCATGTTGACTCTGGCAGAGCATGTGAGCAGGGAGGACAAAGGTTCCTTCAGGCGTTGTATTTTGTACCCTCTAGAAGGCTCAGTGACCCACGCACCGGTCATGGTGACTGGTTCACCACATGACAAACTGAGCCAGAGTACTCCTCAGCAGTTTTTGGCCAGAGTCCAGAGGAAAAGCGCTCTCTCTTTCTACAGTGAATGCTATTGTTATTGACAGCCACTGAATTGGTCACATGGAAACAGAAATCTAACATCCCTGGGGCTGTGCTTAAAGCTAGAACATCCCTGGACTTTCCATTGTGTGTGCTAATAACTTTTCCTTTTTTCCCTTTGTTGCTGTAAACTGGCTTTTTGTTACTTCTAAGAATTCTAAGGAACACAATATACCTCTAATTACAGTCACATGCCGCAGTAGAACGTTTCCGTCAGGGACGCCCTGCACTTACCAGAACGGTTCGGGAAAACTGTACGGAGCTGAAAAAGTCCTACTGCAGCCGTGGTAACGCAGCAGCGCATGTATCACTCGTGCGTGGCGACACTGGTGTAAACAACCCACCCGCTGTCTGCATCGCGGCCCACTGCACCACGCCAGCACACCACAGCCCGCCCGCCGTCTGCAGAGCGCCCCTGCCGGGCACAGATGGCAGTGCACTGCTGTCCCTGTGGTCTGCAGCGCGGCACACCACAAGGACAGCAGTGCACTGCGCCATCTGTGCCCGGCAAGGGCGCTCCGCGGCGCCTGCACACAGACCGGGACACCTACTGACGCATGTCCCATAGCCTGAAGTGGTGCATGACCGTGTCTGCAGAAGTCCAAAGCCTTTAAATGTTAAAAACTAAAAAGAAATATAAGCTTATTTAAACTCCGACTTTATAAAATTCAACAATTGCAAAGTCTCACAAAAGTTTTCATGAAAACTTTCAAAATAGGATTAAAAACATGCAAATCCAGGACCATCTGGTCTTAGAAAGTGTGGAACAGTGCAAAACTTTGGGGGGATATCTTTTAAAGCACTTCGAATACTTATGGGCAAACAGCAGAGACCACACATGTGGGTCCCCTCCCTCCCTTTTCATTCTAGTTTGAAGAGAAAGGTGTCAACTGATTAATGAAGGGTATACACTTAAAGGGAAAAAGAAATTGCCAAAACAAAATAGTCCTTAATTTAAGAGAGAGGAAAAGAGAATTTTTATTCAACTTTATGTAGAGAACATATTTCAAGGACATGGATAGTGGTAGTGGCTTGGTGACACAGCAAATCGGGGAAATCCACCACTTACATGAGCAAAAAGGCATAACATAGAATCCCCCCAATACTCTGTTGCTGGAGTTGATCACACTTACCAGGACCGTCCGATGAATTCCTTGGAAATGGCATGTAGAAGCATTCCGATATTAGCACCAAGACCTGGAGGGGAAAGGTGATTTTACAGTGAGTAGTAGATAGGGCACTTAGTGCCAAAGAACCTCAAAACGAAGCCTTGCTTCTACACCCAGATATTCACAGGTAAATAATTAGCAGTTGGTCAGAAGTCCTCAAAACAAGAAAAGGGTACAAGTAAGAAGTTCCTATTTTTACATGTGACACAGTACAGGGAATACTCCTATTTGAGAACAGGAGTCAGAGTCGAATGTCTACAAAGCCCACTGAACACTCTTCAGGACACACAGAACTAGTCTGTATGCGGGCTGCTCCTCACCAGCAATAGCACTTCCTACATCAGCGTTTTAAAGGTATTCTAAAATTTTAAAGAACTAAGTCCTAGCCCTTTTGATTCAATTTTACAAACATGAAATGAGTATCCTACATTTTGTTCAGGATTACTACCATCTGTATTTTCATTTATTATTTTACTCAATATTTGGTTCATTAGGTTCAAGGTATGTCAGCATCTGGGGGGCAAGATTTAAAAAGAGGAAAAAGTGGCAGTTTACTTATAAATCAATATGGAAAATTGAGTTTCAAGAGAGAAAGGAATAAAGCACTTTGACTGACACTTGAGAGATACAGTGAGGACAGCCAGTGATGGCCCTGGGAAGGACCAAGAAAATGCATCAGGAGGCGGCTGATTAAGGGCCTGGCACAGTCAGGAGAAGCTGGGTGGCACCAGAGGTCTGGCCCCTTTACACTATAACAAACTGGACCACGGGGGCTCTTGGATGAAGAGAAAGCTCTGAATGCCAGTCTGAGGAGACCGGTGGTGGGCACCAGGATGCACTAGGTTCTGTGGGTTGCAGAGGACAGGATTCCAGCTATTCAATTAATTTGAATACCAAAGAGGAAAATATTTCTATCTGAAAAGTCTGAGATTAAAATTTACATTTTAATGTGATAGTCAAGTGCTTATCAGCTAACTATTCAAGGGAAATATTTTGTTGTTGTTAATCTTCACCCAAGAATATATTTCCATTTATTTCTTTTTTAGACAGAGTGGAAGGGAGGGAAAGGAGGAGAGTGAAACATCAATGTTAGAGAGAGGCACATGACTGGTTTCCTCCCCCACATCCCTGACAGGGCCAAGGATGGACCCTACAACCCAGGTACCCCAGGAACGTGCCCTTGACTGGAAATTGAACCCACAAAACTTTGGTCCGAGGGCTGATAACATTCTAACCACTGAGCAAAACTGGGTAGGGCCATAATATTTTTCCGTTTTTTCTTTTCCATTTCTTAATTCCAACTAAAGGGAAAATTTTTGGTCCTGACATATTGCAAAAGAAAGAAAAAACATCTGCCAGTGACAAGAAACACTGGTATTCACAACAAAATGAGATGGGGTGGGGCTTGGGTGGGAAGTCCTACTTGTGACAAATACCTGGGCCATCCAGAGGGCAGGGTAAGGGGCCGAGAGACCTATGGGACACTTGTCTCAACTTATCTCTCATCCTGCCCCTCCACAAAAACTCTTAGAGGGAAGGAGAACCTCCAAGGTCGCCAAGACCACGCTTCACCTGACTGCATGCCTGGGCTCTACTATCGGCCCCCAGTTATTGGCAGAGGTGACACAGAGCACGAACTGCACACCTGGAGACCTCACTCAAGACAAATCTTCTAGCTGTTGTGTTTTAACACATATTGCAGTGGCAGAGAAGGCATTTTGAGTAGACATGTGTACGTTATTCTATGAAAATGTATTAACAAACAATTTATGAATCCATTATGGTTTTGAAATTATTTTGTTAAACAAAGTCCTCTTCCCAACTTCTATAAAGGGATACTACCTTATATCACTTAATCACAAGAATCAGTTGATTCTTGAATCAACTCTCTTCTTTCTTCAGGTCAAGCCTCTAATAACCTTCCTACACCAATTATTGGAATGTAAGTTTCCAAATGAACTTAGGGCATAGGCAGACCTGACGTGACTTCTTGGGCTTAAAGTCAACCTCAAAGATAAAATTCTAAGACTCTTTATGCTAAGAAAACTTTTTAGTGGTCTTGCAATAGGCTCACACTCAATCTACATTCTCCATAACTCCACTCATAATCTTCTAGGATCTCATACTGTTCTTCTAAAAGAACCTCATACACGTGTAGCTTCAGAAAGAATACTCTGCTAGAAAAATCTAGCACTAGACTATAGATGGGAGAATTATTTACATCCAAGGTCAAATTTATATCCAAAGTCAAATCCTTTTAGGCCAGAGCATTAAGGACATGTTGATAGCAGTAAGATTAATGCATCAGAATGGAACATACCTAGGACTCAATGAATGACATATCTAAGTTCTATCCCTACCCATGAGGTTAACATCAGCAGTCGGATCTCAATATAAACCATAATATGAAGCAAGCATGCTCAGGGCAAAATAAAATTGAGCCTCTTTGGCTCCCTGGAATAAGATTTTGTCATATGAACTTATGACTTGTTATAAAGACAATTACTAATACTTCAAGCTTATGTTTAAAAGACTTTGCTAGCTCTGGCCAGGTGGCTCAGTTGATTGGAGCATTGCCCAGTGCACCAAAAGGCTGTAGGTTCAGTCCACAGGTAGGCACATACAGGATCGATGTTTCTCTCTCTCCCTCCCCCACTCACTTCCTCCCTTTCCCTCTCTCTAAAAATCAATAAAAATATATCCTCAGGTGAGGATTAAAAAAAAAAGACTTTGCTAAAGAACCAAAATTCATTATAAAATGTAAGGACAGACTTTTAAGATAAACTTAACTAAAAGTCTGTCCTTTTTATATAAATATTTGTAATCACCACTTACTCTTATCATATAGCATTTAGGAGTTATGTGAATGATATGTACTATAAGGACTTCTAAGAATTTATATTAATATTTAAATAATTTATATTTATATTAATTCAAATTGATCAAGTGTAGGTAAAGAGAAAGATTAAAAAACTAAATCAAGGAGCAAAACATGCTAAAATACTTATAGCTGCCTATACACTTAAATAAATAAATTTATTATTCCAACTCTTAGCTAAAACATCTAGGTTTAGAAAAATGCATAGTTACTTACTAGATACTGATTGTTATACCCAAAGTAGACATGTGATGTGCTTTGCATCTGCCTTTTTTTTTTTTTTCACAATGCTGTCTGTGTTTTTTAATCAACATTATCTCATAAAATCCACCTTGGGAAAACTAGAGTGTATGTATAAGCAGCTGGCCAGGATTAGAGGTTTAACTGGAGGATATGAACAAGAAAAAAATCATCTCGTTTACTGGAGAACAAATCCACAGCATTGGCCTTATCACCACGGTGTTGCAATCAAGTAGGCAACGTGTGAAATCCCTGCTGATGGGGTGGTCTTGGAAACTATCAATTCAAGTACGGTCTCTAGTTCTCCTTTCCTCACTGCCTATATTTGTGGAGGCACACATCTCCAGAATATTTAAGGGATAGGGTTAGGAGACCATGATTTAATTAATTTTCCATTATATCTCAAATTACCATTGAAAGCAGAATCGAACAAGCAAATGCTATTTAACTACTTAGATAACACACAAAATGACGTTTCTTTGTGGGCTTTTTCTTTCTTGGCTGCTTTGTAGTTCTGCATGAAACCCATCTATCTGGCTTTCAAGAGAGGAAAAGAGATTAGCATTATTATCTCTTACCAGACCCATTAGAAGGCCAAAAATCAAGGTGGCTATGATGAAAAAGACATAAGAACACCAAGCAGGAATTCCAAGGGTCACTGTGAAATAGTTGTGAAGATGCTGTAATCAAAAGAAAAACAATTACTTATAATGAGGACCAAAAATGTTTAAATCTGCTGTGGCTATAACTCAAGTTGGCAAACTGTTTCCACATATAGGAGCTCCCACAAAGGTCATCCAGTGGTTTATGATTCTTCAAGAACAAGTCAATCTTTACAACACTGAGAATCTCAGAGTAATACACAAGGTGGTATCTAGTAAGAGTTATAGTTCTTTGGAGTTCATGATCTGATAGAACTCTGGTAGAGTTGCTTTTCTAGTCCCTTCTTCCATGATGATAGATTTTTTGGGTCAGCTCCGCTAATAATTATATTTACCTCAATATGTACTTGTAATTTGGCATTCATAAAAAATTAAACTGCTTGGACCATGACCTATTTTTAGGTGGAACTAAATACTACTTACAATTTTCAATGTCTCCATACTTCCTCTTTCTAGTCAGACTCTCATTTCTCTACCCCTATCTACCTTTAACAACTCTCCTAAATCACCATAAAACCTAAAATGCAACAGTAGAAAAAAGGTTTCCCCAGTTAACTAATCATGAGGAAATGAGATTTCATCAGGCTCTGAGTAGAGTGCACATCCCTTCATGCTCACTGTTCTCTGGAACTCTATTTGATACCAAAGACTAAAAAAAATGAAGAGATACGACCTGAGCTAGACATTACTTCCATGGTAAAATCACAGAGAAATTAGATATGAACTACAAGTGTGGAGCCAAAGCCCACTTAGATGTGGACTGGCAGCAGCCATGACGATCCAGTGCTCATTGGTTTCAGGCCATTACAGCTTAAAAAACAGTCACCAGCTGTTTACTGGGCACACAGTGAACGGGTTCCAAGCTGAACGCCATCAGCAGGCACAGACACCACAGGAGATAGCTAACCATGAGCCCAAGTTTCTATTTTAATTTAACATTTCTCAAAATCTAAATTACTCAAGTATTTCCCATTGATGTCTCAGTTTATAAATGTCAATACAATTAAATAATATATTTCATTCTGGGTTAAGCCTGAATGATAAACACAAATGCTTGTTCAGCTAATCTAGAATAATCTGAAATTTCCTCTCCAATTTCTTATTCAACTGAAGAGACGGATCTAAAGTCTCAGCAAGTATTTTAGACAATGAAACATGTAATCAAAGTGTTTAATAAATATTTGTTAGGTGAGTAAAAGACACTAGCAAATCCTTAAACTATTCTTTGGCAAGACAAACAATCCTGAATTGTAAAACTGTCATCTATTGACCCCACTGGTCATTCTGTCTTCAGCCAAGTCAATTATTTATTAAGAATAATCCAACATTTGGGAACCCAGCAGGCAAGAGAAGTATTGGGATTTCAAAATGTTTTAGTCAAACCCTTTTCCATGGAAGTTCTAAAATGTATTGCACAGGTCAACTATGTTAGAAAATTCTATGTATTGAATACAGTTTAGGCTTTTCTTGACCACTCTGTGCCATCATCAGGATTAATCTCTGAAATGTATCAAAGAATCAGCAGAGAAAGCCAGTTTGTCTTTGTGCTGACCCATGGATGCACGAATTCTGGAACTTGTTCTATAAATAATATACTCATATGGTTGGAATCAGTAATGTGCAGTTATAAATCCTTCCAGACAGTACCTTATGCCCTTTCTGCAAAGTCAATGACTGCAATAACCCTCCAGAAGCCTCCTGTTTTCCAGAGTGCAGCGTGCTACAGCCTCTGCGTCACTGCACTGAGTCACACTCCTACCCATTCTACCTACCCGCTCACTTGTATAAGCTCCCCTCAACGTTCTTGTATCACCTTACACTTCAGAGGATGTATGTGAGCTTCTTACAGAGACCCTAATAAACTCTGGTAAAATGTGGTCTTTTAGGTGATTACTGCTAAAGTCTCATTAATCAAGTTGTTTTTTCACAGCTGCAGACATAAACCTTTATCTGTTTACTTTATCTACCACCACAGTGAAAAACCATTTTAGAGTATCTTAAAGGTGTTAGGGTTCTTGGTTCTAAATACCTGAAGTTTTTCTGTATATGTTTCCAGGAAATCACTGATTAAAACTGATTTAATTCAGTTTCAGATTTCTGTTTGTTTCTTTCATTGCCAGGCAATGACGGTTTTCACTTGTGAAAAATACTGATCCTTGTTCAATATTATGTGTGGTCACTGCAAGGAAGCATTCTATTCTGTTTCCGTAAAGTACACAAAAATGTTGTCTGATGGGCCTGACACCTTATATTATTATCGATGACTACGTTAGAGCCAATGGGAGCTGCACACAGATTTGTGTAAGAAGGCTGAATGAAGATACCATCAGAGTAGAATATATAAGAACATTCCAGTGGCCAGATGGATCTAAGCAATGAAGCCAGGCCGACACATTCACAGATCAGGTATAGCCTTCCCTCCAAGGAGGCCAGCACTTTCTCTGGGACGTGAACTGCTACAGGTCGGATTAGGTGCACCGCCCATCCAGCCCAGTGCTGCACAGTCTCATTCAGAGCTGGGCTAGCCCAGAAGGATAGAGAACCTTTTGAATTTATATCTTACCTACGTCACATGATATATTCAAAGGAGTTTATTAAGGACAAGCCCTATATCCTTTTCAGTGACTGATCAGAATCCTCAAAACGTATTCCCTGTGTGGGAGCAGCTCAGAAGACTTCTCCAGCAATGGCCAAGGGTTCCCTTCCCCTTTCACGTTATAACCTCTTCAACACGTGCAACAAGGCACAGCCTTGCAGCTCCGATAGGCATTAAGAGATGTACCCTGTGGTTGTGTACCATCTCACTGTAATCCTGTTCTAGACATTAGGTACAAGAGAAAAAGAAAAACAAAACAGTAAGAGAAGAGACACCACTACCTAAAACCCAGGGGGTATTTCAGAGTTTTGAAATACACTCTTATTATTCTCCAGTCTAAATAACCATGGCCTTTACTTCTCATCACGCGACATTTACAAAGCATTAGACCTTCTCCATCACACAGATTATCCTCCCAAAGATGCAGCATACCTTACTGCAGCTAAAACTGGCCATATGTCTGCATAGTAACAGTAACGTTGAGAAGAAGTTAAGTTACTGCATTAGCTCAGTAAGCAGCACAAATTCACCAAATCAAATCAAATAATATTTAAGTACATTCAAATGCTAAACCTAGTTAGCAGAAGTACACATACATTGTACAACTGCCAGAGAACCCTATTTGTTAAAAAAAAAAAAAGAATAAAAACAAAATGTTTCTTGTTGCCTCATCAGAGGGAAAAGTAAATTAATGATGACAACAATAATTATGAATATAACTAACAAAAACCAGTTATCAAGTACGTGGTAGATGCCAGGTTCTATGCTAGGCATTCAAAGTGTTCTAGTAACAGCAGATTATAGCAGGAAAAACAAATGGGCTCAGACATACACACAAGGTGGAGAACAATGACTTGTGTCTCTGGAAAAAAATAACACCCCCCTGCATCATTGTAGCTAACTGTGAAGAGACACGAGAAGACAGAAAAACTGCAGTCTCTCCAAACATTGCCCACAGACAAAACCTCAGCCCACGATCCCGAACCTGCCTGTGGCACCACCTCTGACGGGGAGCCTCCAAGGTCAACCTCTGCACGCCCCTCTCAGGACATTGCCCGCACCGCACACTGCCCTTTAGAGTAACATTGTTCATGAAGTTAAGCAACTTTTTAAGTTGAATAAAATTTTAAAAAATTTATATTGCTAATATAAGTAGGAAGTCAGTATCAATTCTGTATCTAGAAGATGTCCACTCTGAGACACTCCTCTAGTTGTCTGTCTTCAGCGACTCCTGTGAGGTGGGTACATGTCAAGACTACACATGAGGATAGGTATTATAGCAAAAGTGACCATGGTGTCTATGAGTTTATGTAAAAATTAAAATATATTGGGGATTACCATCATGACTAGATTGGGAACAATCTGAATTTCGGTGGAGGAAAGAACACTTGAGATGACCTCCTGGCCCCCAGTGGTGTAAATGACCTCCCAAGGACCCCGGGTTCCAGCTGACAGCAGGGAGCTCACAGAATCTGGCTTAGGAACTACTCAGGGTCTTCCTAACCTCAAGGGTTTATCCAAAGCTGGAACATATGGTAGGCTGGTGTAGAGTTAAGAAAGCCAATGCAGATTCCAACAGAACCCCCGAGTTCAGAGCCTGACGCCCTGGGAGCAACTCTGGCTTCCCGAGAGCCACAACCCGCAAGCTTGGCTCCACTCCTAAGGCAGAAACTCGAGGACTTGAAGGAGTCACTAGTTCAGTATGCTTCGACCTTCTAGCTAGTGCTCCTATTTCTGTTTTATCTTTTTCACACAGAAAAATAAAAAATGCAGAGAAAGATAAGAGGTGTTTTTAAAATCAGCCATAACTTCAGTATCAGAAACAACCACTGCTGATACCGAGTCCTCTCCCCTTGGCGTTTTCCTATATACAAACACACACTCCGCGTAAACTGTACATACTGTTTTACCTTCTCCCCACCGGGTGATACCTACTTTTCCCCGATGGAGGCATTTACATTAACCAACGACCCACCGAGGGGAGACCTTGGCTGAGGAAGGACTGACTCCCATCTGTCCACAAGCTCTCAGCAGGATAAGAGCTTGAGGGGACGTCAACAGTCTGCCTTACTGGCATCAGCCACTCTCTTTCCTTCTCCCTGTTTCCACCTTGTCTTGAAGACTTCATACTCTTTTAATTCCAGCCATGTTCTCTCTCAGCCCCCCACCCCCACCCCCGCTGTGTTTCTTCTGTTCATTGTTAATATGGTGGCACTAGTTTTATATTGTCTAGACTTGAGTTAAAAACAGATTTATCTCCCCCAATCATACATTCAGTACTGATGAAAGGATCTAGGGCAAGGAAGGCGAGGGAGCTGGCTGGGTAGTCAGTTGGGAAGACTGTTTCAGTAAGTGGTTCTATAAGAGCAACACTTGAAGACTGTACCTAGAGGCTGACATGGAAACCAGAGACCTGACAAGGTAGCCAAGGATCGGGTCCCACCAGGCCAGAGATCTTACTCTCTGCAGAGACAACGGCTGCATTCTATAAACACAGGTGGGTGAGAGCCCTTCCCAGAGATTTCATGAAAGGCTCGGAACTTGTTTTTGATGAATAAAGAAACTAAAAAATTTTGTCAAAAAGCTTGGGCAACCTAGATGATGATACAGGGGATAATACCAGATTTCTATTACAAATTTTTGAGGTAATGTATACATACATATGAGAAGATCAAAATAATCTACCCACCTAACCATTTGCATTCCTTTAGTTAGGTATACCCCCCCCAAAAAACACACACACACACACACACACACACACACAATCTATAATCAGGGCAAATGTGTTAGTGATCCCAATAAATATAAATGGACTACACTGATCAGTTAAAAGAATTACTTCTTGCCATATACTTTTTATAAGACTCACTTAAAACACAACAAGAAAAAGACTGACCATGGAAAAACATTCCAGGCTAATGCTAACCAAAAAGAAAAAATATATATATGGTATTAACATTAGATAAAAGAAACATTATAGACTGTACACTGGCCCTTTCTCTGCGGTCCAGTGCATCCGCACAGAATCCATCCATGCTGTCCCCTGTGCATAGCTAACGATAAAACACCCATTCCTGACCTTGACAGGACAACGCTACATGTTGTAAACATCTACATGATGTAATACAAAACTGTTACTCCTTGTCTACACTCTTGTTTATCTAAGTACTAAATACCAAGTTGTATGTGGTCAGGGCCATTATTTTTGTTCCCTGATACTATGTTTGAAAGTAAAACTCTAACAGTGTGTGAAAGCCATGACTAACTTCCACCTAAAGCACTCAACCCACAGAACAAACTCATCTCTTGATCTGCACTTATTATAGATTCTGTGCTGACATCCATGTATTTTCATTCTCCCATTAAATTAGACATTATAATAAGGCCACAAAGCTCGTAGCACCAATATTAAGGAAACAGTAGAAGGAAACCATATGCAACTCATACTACCTGGAGAAGGGAAATGCCAGTTTAATATTATACACAATTGCCAAAAAAAAGTTACCAATTTTAAACAAAAACCACTGTATCCTAGTGACCAATTTAGCTTCTGTTGTTAAAAAAACAAACAAACATGAAGTTGGTGGTCTATCTCAAAACACAGAAAACAAAAAACAACCAAAAATCTGGTTCACAAAAAGTTGTTCTTAAGTTTCCCTCAACATATGTCAATGCATGAGAAACGAAAAGTCTTCTTGCGCTCCTCAAATATGAAGTTCCGCACAGGACACCCTGACCTGCACACAGCTTAGAAAAGACAAATATAGGAACTTATTTCTAAAGATGTGGAATACTTTAAGTATATATATTTAATTCCACAGCAACTGTGTTAAATCTGGCAGGACTCAGCTCACTCTACACAAAAACGGGGAACAAGGTTTTGTGACACATTCAAGATGACATAACTGTCCACCGTTTTCATCTAAACAACAGTTCAAATTCACTGAAAGCACTCAGTGAAGGATACAATCACATACAGCAAGCTCCAAACTTCCTCTTGAAAGAGAGTAAGTACTGAGGCCTATGGGCCACATGGTCTCTGTCACAGCTACTCAACTTTACCCTTGCAGAGGGAAAACAAACATAGACAACAGGCAATGAATGAACATGGCTGTTCCAATAAAACTTCATTTACAAAAGCAGGTGGCCAGCCCTCAGTCTGCTGATCCCTGACACAGAGAATCCCTTTCAGGCTCAGATCATCTTTGCTCTGTAGATTATGACAATGGGAATATAAGATGAAGTATACCCCCATAAGCCTGATTCAGCTTTGATGATTGCTGATCTAAGAAACCATGACTCTGACACAGTAGTCACTGGTCATTGTCTAGTTTACGCCTTTCTACTACACAAAGACACGTCCACAGGGGACCCCTTGTGAGAGTAGTTGTGTGGCTTAAGATGAAAGTGAAATTATAAAAGTATTTACGATGTTTATTTTCCTATAGTTTAGAAGTTACATTCTTACTCTTAAAAAAAAAATACAAAAAAAAAAAAAACCAACCCTCTGCAAAGATAATCACAAAGGGTATATTACTTACCCATATCTTGCCAGAGATGCTAAAAAGACCAGCCATTCCAGACATCCTTAAAAAATAAAGAGAAGAAGAACCACTGGTGTGAAAAAACAAAACTCAGGTCACAGGATCCACCCTCCCATTCTCTGCACTACTCTGTCTTTGTCTCCTGGATTCACTCGTGTTCATACAGAGCTTCAACTCCACACCATCATTTCAGTCACTGTTCAAATCCCCTGGCTCTTTCTCCCTCCATTGTACATACCTGGCAAAACCCCAACCTTGGGCAGCCGCATGTCTCTGGGGGAAAACCAGATGACCAGCTGACTGTTCTTAGTCACAACCCTCAGTGAGCACTCAATACAGCGTTTTTCTGGCTCCACCTGACAGGCTAGCTCCTGCGCTTCCCCTCACACCCTGACACACACCCCTCTCAGCTAACAAACGCTCCTCACATGTCACTGTGAAATCAGAAGCCATAATGTGATCTCTCTTATCTTCCCATCACCCAATCTGAGCCTGGCATACCTGCATCCATCTCCTGTTTCGACAGAGAAAGTCTGTCTGCCTCCCCAGTCTAATTCCTCCACTGTGCCTTGGATCCCAGCCCTCTGGCTAATTAATGACTTGGTGGTTCTTTTTGTCAACCGCTCTTCCTGCATTCGCAATTTCTTCCTTTCTTTTGGATCATTTTCCTCAGCATGAAAACAAGTTCTACCCTCTCTCATCTTTTTTTTTTTTTTAATTTTTTCTTTATTGATTTTTAGAGAGAGAGGAGGGGAGAGGGAGAGAGAGATAGAAACATCGATGAGAGAGAACATCGACTGGCCATCTCTCGCATGCTCGCCACTGGGGATCGCACCCACAACCTGGGCATGTACCCTGACCAGGGATCGAACTGGCGACCTCTTGGTGCATGGGTCTATGCTCAAACACTGAACCACAACAGCTGGGCTAAAAAAAACATCCTTGGACCTCACATGGCCCTCCAGTTTCACGTCTCCAAGGAGGAGCCCACCCTTGCTGTTTCTTCTTCCTTACCCTATCTTCAACCAATGCAACTCTGCTTCTGTCCTCACTACTCCAATATCACTTGTGAAAGCCACACTGACCCCACACTGCTTCCTTCAGCGTCCATGTGTCAGACTTGATCTTCTGTCACCTCTTGGTAACAAGGGACACAGTGACTACTCTTCATTCCTGAGCACCCTAATTTACTTCGCTTCCAGGAAATCGCATACCCTCACTTGTCATCCTGAGTCACTGGTACTAGTCTTCAGTTTCCTGAGTCCTTCTTCACCCAACTTTACTTAATGTTGGGTGTCTTGTATCGAGGTCCCAAGCACTTCTTTTTCTCTCTCTAGGTGATCTCCTCCCTTCTAAAGCTTTAAATACCATCTATACGTTTTGTATTTGTGTTCCCTGAACTCTCCACAGACCCACCTCCATGCATCCAACTTGACAGCTCCATATAGAGACTGCATCTCAAACTTGACATGTTTACCACTGAACCTTTGGTTTCCTCTTGCTCAAGTCAGTAACTGGTGCCAAGATCCACCAAGCACTCAAACCAGAAACACAAGAGACTTTTTGATGAATTTTCCCTCTCCTTCACCTTAGCCAGGTCTACCTTCAAAATATTTTAAATCCACCCATTCTCTCTATCCCCAGTTGCCACCAATAAGCACTAGCACCAGCCCTAGGCTAGACACAGCAACAGCCTTCGTCTGCCCTACCCATTCCCACCCTTCCCAGTCTCCTCTCCTGAGAGTCACCTTGTCCTTGCAGGGACTGATAACATCCAGTTCCTCAATGTGGTCAGGCTTGTGTGATCTGGCTTCTGCCTCTCTCATGGCTTATGTACATATTACTCTCCCGACCATTCACTGTCTTGACCCCGCCACCTTTCTGCTCCCCAGCACACCAAGCTCTTTCCAAATGGGGCCAAAGGCGTGTCACACCCATTCCTGGGAATATCCTCCCCTGCTCCTCACCGGACTAGGTTGTTCTGCCCTCGGGTCTCACTTACGGTCCTCCCCTCAGTGACCTCTCCTAGCCCTCCTCCCATGGAGGCCCATGTCCCCAGTTATTCCGTCTGAGTAAAGGTGTGTTGTTGTTGTTTGAAACAGCCTACAATTCTTTATATCCCTAGTGTTTTCTTAATCTGCGTTACTTTAGTTACCTGAGGGGAGCAGAGGGCCCCCGTCTGCCTTGTTCACTTTTGAATATCCAGCACCTGGAACAGTATCTGGCATAAAATGATGACTCAAGATACTTACAGAATGAAAGTTGCATTTAGACTAAGCTACGTATTTCCTGAGTGTTATATAAATGCTACTACATGACTTATTCCTGAAATATTACATAATTTAATTTTTTTTTGGCAGGGATATTCCTTACACTTGTATATACTAACAAAATTAATGAAAAATAAGACAACTCATTCGAAATTAAAACCAACTATGGACAAAGTTATTAGGCCCTTCCTACCTCACCAAGTATTATGCAGTTCATCATCATGGTTACCCTCTGCTAGGCCATCAAAGGACCACAGGCTGCATTTCTACATACAAGGGCAAGTCCTTCCTGAACTATAATTCAAGAAAAGAGTCATTCCCACATCTTACCAACGTTTTAAAAGGAAGAAAGAATGGCAATGTGCTCAACACCATATTTTATGACGAGAAAACCGCTGGCTCAACAAGAACGGCAGGGGGGGCTCTGCGACCCGCCTGAAGGTGGCCCCTGCTTCCCAGGACTCTAACAGCCAGCCGAAACACACGTGGGCTGTGAAGCCAGAAACACAACATGGGGTAAGCATGGCCATGTGTAGCCTGGATGACCAGATGTGAATATGAAGAAAAACGTAGACTTTCAAGATGCATGAACTGTTCCCTTGATACAACCTGTTTCATTAGTAATACCTTCCCATTAAAAAAAAAGGCAGGTTACGTTAAAGAAGCCGGGGATTTCCAGCCAGTCAGAGGCTCAACTGATTGCCATTTCTTCTCTAAGATATAATTCTGCAGGTCTTCGTAGATTCCGGGACCACGGTATCGACGAAATATCCCATCCTTTGCACTAAAAATTATAAAAACAAATAGATAAAATGATTAAAATAACAAGTGCTACAGATAATAAAAATCAAAATAACTGTTGGTTTTATATGTGAACTACACTCTGAATTTTAATTTGGCTCAAATGAAGAAAAAGTTATAGTTAGGCATAAATCAGAAAGCATGCATAAATATTAATCTATTACATATGAGAGATTCCAAAACAGAAAGCATTAAACATTCTCTTTTACCACCACAAAATTTGTGACTATAAGCAAAGTTACTGCCAAGTTACCTTTTTATTTTTGCTACCAAGTATTTCAATTTTTCTCTTACAACAGCATAATAGCAGTGATTATGATGTTTTAAAAACTATATCTGCATTTCCAAATGTATGTCATTCAAGCCCCTCCCCCCCAAAATGAACAAAACACCTGCTATTTTCACCTGCCCCCATGCATCTTCCCCTCTCCTGCCTTCTCCCCGCAGCCACGCCTCCTAAGGCAAGAATCCACACTCGACATTTTCTCCTCATATATTACTCAGTCACAACCCTGTGACTTAGGGTTCTGCTTCCACGACTCCATGGACCTGCTCATACTGGGGATCTCCAATGACTCCGAAGTGCCACAGGCATAGAGCACTTTCTGTCTGTCACTGGCACTGCCACTACTGAACACCCCCTCCCTCCTCCTCTCCCTTGGCTTTTATGAGCTCTCTGGACTTCCTCCTACTCTGACCACCCTTTCTCAGTTCCTTACTTCCTGTCCTAAGGTTGTAGGTCCACGACCTACTTCTATTCCCATTGCATACTTTCTCTCGACGCACACTTTAACTCTTATCTTTGTGCTGGGAAATTCCCAATATGTATCTCCAGTCTAACTCTGTCTTCTGAGATTTAGATCCTCAAATCAGACTACCACCTAAACCTATTTGAAATTACGTAGTCACTTCACACTACCTTCTCCATTTTGGCCTCTGTCTTCCAAACTCCATCTTATTCTAAAGCTCCTCAATAGCTTGTATTATTATACATGGCCTACTGGTAGTCATCACAAGCTTTTCCTTCCTTAGGGCTAATCAGTCACCAAGTCCCTGTGATCCCACATCCTAAGCATCTCCAGAACTCATCCCTTCCTTTCTCTTTCCCCTCTTACTACCTGAGCCCCTCTAGCCTCACAGTCCTCCAGGTGCTCCCACTACTCCCTCTGGGCCAGCCATAAAGAACTAGCTTCAGTTCTCATTTTCTCCTGGGCTTTTCCGTGGTATCTCCTCTATCTGGAAAGGCCTTCTCTACCTTGTCTAACCAATTCTGACTTATCCATTAAGAATCATTCCACTGGTCCAGCCGGTATGGCTCGTGGTTGAGCGTCAATCCGTGCACCAAAAAGGTGGCCGGTTCGATTCCTTGTCAGGACACATGCCCAGGCTGTGGGCCTGATCCCCAGTGTGGGGCATGCAGGAGGCGGCCAATCGATGTTCTCTCATCAAGGTTTCTATCTTTCTCTCCCTCTCACTTCCTCTCTCTCTCAAATCAATAAAGGAAAAAATAAAAAAATAAAATCATTCCACCTTTTATTTATGTCATCAGAAAAATCTTCTCTACCCACCTGCCCCCTGAGTTAGCTACCTAAAACGAGGTTCATTTCCCTGAAGCGCTCTGGGTCTCCCTCTCCCACCAGCTATCACCCCACAGAGCTGTCACTCTCCTTTCCAGTGCAGAGATGAATGTGCGATGGTATGGAAAACAGCTTAGAATGCTTGGTGCACACCTACTGATTTCTAATATTTACAAGACCAGAAAAGTATTTAAACTTACTGAAAAAATGCTGGGAGAGTGGTGACAAAGAAGCGGCCACTCAAACCTACAAAAAGCATAAACAAAAAAGTTACAAGTCAAACTCCGACTAACCCAAGCACCTACCTGAAATTATAAGAACAAGAAGCCTTGAGCTTGCTTTTATAACCACAGTATTAAATCACATATACTGTTTATTACTTTGACCTAAAAAAAGTCCATTTTTACCCATTTTTATAACCTAATATTTTCCAGTCAGTGACCTACAACTTGCTTATCTCCGATGCGTTACACGGGAGTTTTCTGTCTTGTACATCACTTGGAATTGTGTGGTGGCTCACAGGGCAGGTTATAGAATCATGCAACCTGGGTTAAATACTAAATTCTCCATTTACTAGCTCTATAACCTCAGAAAATTACTTAACCTTTCTGAGTTTCAGTTACCTCCTTGCAAAACGGGTGTATTAAAGCCTGACTGAATTGTTCTAAAGTTAGATGATCTCAGGAGGTTAAATGCTAAGCACATAGTGAAGGACTCAGTCAATTAAAGGCATTATTATATCAGATGTAGGTTTTAAAATAATAATAAAGAATTTGAAATAAGATCATGTGTAATCTTTGCACTTTTATAAAATTTGCAAATACCATAGAGACCATATGTACATTAAACATTTTCTCAATGTTTCAATAAAGCAAAACTTCACTAAACACTAATTGTATATCAAATGCTCTGCTAAATACATGTGAAAACAAAGACAAATAAAACCTTTAATAACTCAGCAAATATTTACTAATTATCTTCTTTGTTCCAGGAATAGTGATAACTGCTCAAGACACATAGGTAAGCAAAAACGTGTAGTCTTTGTTCTCACAGAACTTACCGTCCAGTTAGCAGCAGAGGGAAATACCTTAATACTTACAATTATAACTATGAGCAGACATATATGATATCAAGAAACGAGCATGCCATAAAACCTGAATGACACTAGGAGTAAAGAACAGGTCCCTACTCTTTAAAGGTTTACAAATAATATTTACATGGGCACCAAGAATGAGCAGCCTGGTATTGCCAAAGAGAAGGAGAGTTAAAGGATCCTCCTGGCCAGCATGGAAAAATGACAGACATCATTTTCACATTTCTCATCACTTCTGCCTTTTCTACTGAAGAACAATTTGGACAAAATTAAGTATTTATTCAAATAAAGTAGCTCAAATGTCACATCACTGTGGTCACTTGCAATTTGAAATGCTGAAGGTTTACTTTTAATAACACAAAAGTTGCTTATACCATTTTATACATTAAATTTGTATTTAGCATAATAATTTATTGATTAGTGATGAGTCTTCCGAAAGAAGGATTTGCTATTTTTTTCCTCATATCAAACCAAACAGAGTCTAAAATAGCACTATAGCACTTAAAAGAAAATAGTACTCTGAAGGCAGTAAAAGTCAATGTTCCAAAAAAAAATCATTTACTCCATACATTTATCATTGTACTTTTTTTTAAAGGATGTACTACTGGCAGTAACAAAACACAGGTAACCTGAGAAGTCAGCTTGAGAATTGTTAACATGAATCTCTGACTACAGGGCATTTTCACCTCTAACCTAATAGTGCTTGGAATTCCACTCTAGCAGGGAACATGGATGGGTATCTTTTAGTATATTTTCAACTCCAAATTACCAAGAGAAAGTGTTGGTAATACTAAGAGCTTAAAACTTACCACAGGCTTTTGCTTAAAGTAATAATTATAAACAATTTCACAGCTCACTTCTTTACTAGAGATTCTTATAACCACGCAAAAATTTCATCTAAGGAGAGTGACAATGTTAGGGAATTATGCTCTTTTAAAAATTTTTATTCGTTGGTTTCAGAGAGAAACAGGAAAGCAGAGGGAGGGTGGGGAGGGGAGAGGAAGAGGGAGAAAGAGAGAGAGAGAGAGAGAAATTGATTTGTTGTTCCACTTACTTGCACACTCATTGGCTGATTCTCATACGTGTCCTGACCAGGGATAGAACTTGCAACCAACTGAATTACCTGTCAGGGACTATATGATCTTTGAAGATGGAATGAACAGCCATGGTCCGTGTTGCTCAGTGATCAAGAGCACATACCTGGGTTACAGGTAGGATCCCCGTACCCCCTGTCAGGGGCATGTGTGAGAGGCAACCAATAGATGTAGTTCCCACATTGATGTCTCTCCCCCCTCACCTACTCTCTCTAAAAAAAAAAAAAAAAAAAAAAATCAATGAAAAAAATCCTCCAGTGAGGAAAAAAATTTTTTTAAATGGAATGAACAAATAGCAGCCCATCATTTCAAGTTTCTATTTAGGTTTTATTTCTATCACATTACATAGGTAGATTTCTAATAAGTGTTATAACTGAAGACAAAAGCCAATATTTTTTAATCTTTTTTCTTAATCCTCACCTGAGATATTTTTCCACTGATTTTCAGATGGGGGGGGGGGGGAGGAAGGGGGAGAGAGAGAAAGAGACATCGATGTAAGAGAGACACATCAATTGGTTGCCTCCTGCACAACCCCATCCAGGGCCAGGGATCGAACTGCAACCGAGGTATGTGCCCCTGTCCAGAACTGAACCCTTAACTCTTTGGTCTGACACTCTAACCTCTGAGCAAAACTGTCCAGGGCCTGACTCTTATAAGTTTTTAACCAGGGACATTAAATTTAAACTCTCTGGGCTTTGGTTTTCTTATTATACATAGGCATCATAATTTCTCATAGTATTTTAGTATTAAATAATTTTACATTTATAAAGCACATAGAAAACAAAATCTGCTGTATAATAAGTACTAAATAAATGCTAGCTGTTAATTTCTATCTTTAAATCTCTGATTCAAAGTTGGAGTAAAATGAGAGAATATGACAAACACAAACTATTGATTACTAAGTACTTTGGAAACTGTACATTATTTTGAATAATATAACATATATATATCTTTACTAATAAATGTGCCCATGGAAATCAATGAATACAGAGAAAATGAGAAAAAAGAAACACAGCGACAGGTGGTCTCAAATTTTTCTGATTCAGGGTGGAAGGTGTAACAGGATGCATGCTCCAAAATTGCTAGGTTAAAGGTATAAGAATTTTATGGCTCTTGATATGAATCACTGTGTTGTTTTCTGTAACGGTTGTACCAATATACAAAAGCATTAAGATTCATTTTTTAAATGACCATTATTAATAAGTTGTTGCACCTCAAGACTGCTTCCATTTACATTTGTTAATATTTCTTCAAATGGCAACCCATGTGGAACAGTAATAAGGTTACAGCATCTAACTCAGATATGAGTTGTTTGTTGTCTGGAATAACATACGTACTGTCACTGAGGATGTATTCAGTAAAATCAACAACAAAATCAAGAGCAGCCAAAGTAGTCCTTAGATAATGGTAATGACTAAGCCCTTAAAGATCTGACACCCCAGAAAGTTCATCTCAAATAAATGTCACTTCTGAGAGGTTGAAAGACATAAGAAAACTCTGGGTCTCATGCCAGTGTTCCATAAATGTCTTCTAACCTTTAACACCAATGTTATGAAGTCTCAAGGGAGACATTCATTACCTGGAAAGCTAAAGCATGGCCAACTTCGACCAGAGAAGTACCATCTTGGGTTATGGCTTCAGGGTTTAAACACAAGTTAAGAGTGGACCTTTAAGAATTATAACAGCCCTGGCTGGTTTGGCTCAGCGGTTAGAGCGTCGGCCCGTGGACCAATGAGTCACAGGTTCGATTCTGGCCAAGGGCACATACCTGGGTTGCAGCTCGTCCCTGGCCCTGGTCGGGTAGTGTAACATGGAGGCAACCAGTCGACATGGCTCTGTTTCTCCCTTCCTCCCTCCCACTCTGTCTCATGAGAATGGAAAAACATCCTCAGGTGAGGAATAAAAGAAAAGAAAAAGAATTATAACAGCATGGCAGAAGCTCATTTTAAGGTGCGCATAATGGTTCACTGCAACAAACTTCAGTAAGTGTGGGAGAAACAAGAGATAAAGTTTAACCATAAGGTCTCCAAAATTTCTACATGCCTTTTTTTTTTTTTTGAATTTTTTTTTTTTTATCCTCACCAGAAGGCATTTTTTTGTTGTTGTTGTTCAGATAGAGTGGGAGGGAGAGGACGAGAGAGAGAGAGAGAGAGAGAGAGAGAGAAACATCGACGTGAAGGGACACATCGAGTGGCTGCTACCCGCACAACCCAACCAGGGTTGGGGACAAACTGCAAACAAGGTATGTGCCCTTAGCAGGAAGGAGGAATTAAATCCAGGCCAGGTCTCATGGGACCGCAGGCCGATGCTTAACCACTGAGCCAAACCGGCCAGGGCCTACATGTCTTTTTTACTTTAAGGGTCAACTATCACTTCAAAATGAAAACTATACCGCAACATTAAAAAAAAAAAGCATTAATCCAAAATTCAGAAAAAAAAATTATTATCAAGTTTATTTTAAATATATATAGCAAAGGAAAAAGAAGAATTAAAAGATTGGAGAAAAATTATTACAGGAAACTATATTTTGATATGCAAAAACACAATAGAAATTACTTAAGTTATGCCCTGGCTGGTTTTGCTGAGTTTAGAGCATCGGCCTGCAGACTGAACAGTGATAGGTTCAATTCCCGGTCAATGCATGTTGGGGTCATACCAGAGGCAACCAACTGACATGTCTCTTTCACATCAATGTTTCTCTCTCTCACTCTCTCTCCCTTCCTCCCTCTCTGTCTAAAAATCAGTGGAAAAATATCCTCAGGTGAAGATTAAAAAAATAAGAAATTACTTAAGTTCTATAGTAAGAAAACAGGAATAGATACTAACTTGTGCTCTACCATTTATTAGCTGTGTTACCTTGGAGCCACAGTTTTCTGAACAGTATAGAGGGAAACAGTTTGTTCTTCCAAGGGCTGTTATGAAGCTGAAATGTATATAAGTGCTTAACACAATTAGAGGCTGAAGTAAATGCTTAACTAAATATTAATTCTCACAAAGAGAGGGAAGCAGAAAGAAAATAAAAAGTAGAGCAAACCTTATCTTTGAGACTGAAACAAATTGTCAATATAATAGAACACAAAAGACTAATTTTAATTTTTTATAATTATAAAATTAAATTATTAACACTAACTGAAGTACAATAAATTAAATTGGCTTCTAAAATCAATCAGTGGTGCCCTCGCCAGTTCGGCTCAGCAGCTGGAGCGTAGGCCCACGGACCAGAAAGTCCCAGGTTTGGTTGTCGTTCAAGGTGCGTATCTCGGTTGCAGTTTGTCCCCGCCCCGGTTGGGATCGGTTGGGATTGGGATCGGTTGGGATTGGTTGGGATCCTGTGGGTGGCAACCACTCTATGTGTCTTTCTCATGTTGATGTTTCTCTCTCCTCCTCCCTCAGTCTCTCCTGCTCTATCTGAAGATAAATGCAAAAATGTCCTCGGGTCATTATAAAATAATAATAAAATAAAATCAATCAGTGGTTTTAAACACAAAGCTTATTCTTGGCCGTGGCAGGGGTATGCTTTACCTCTAATCTAGTGAAATACCATCACCCATGGGTGCTCTCTGAGCAGCTACTGTTTTTTTGTCCTTGGCAACTAAACTCATCTGCATGGAACAGAAGGTTCAAGTACATCTAATACTCTTAAATTTAATTTCCTAAAGTCAACAACTAAAACATCACCTGGTCTATGCAATATTAAGCAGGCAATGTAACATTACCTAACCTAAGGGCTGTCTTTCCCTTACACATCTCAGCTGTGAAAATGCAATGTGCTTACAATCCCCAGTTTTTATAATTCTAAAATCCTTAATATATTTCTTATTAAATATACCAATGGAATAGTTACAGGAATAACTAAAGAATTATTCATGATACTTCAAAAATCCTTGCTGTCCCTTCTTTCCAAATTTTGCAGAGAACAGAAATAAAATTATCCCTTACTAGCACGCTGTGGCAAGGCAGCCCTGATGAAAGAATATGCTAATAGAGATCTATAATCACATATAAATCTGTACACAGAAATACCCAGTAAAACGCTCAACTGTGAGGAAAAATAGTAACATTTCAACGGCTTCCCACTGTCATTCAGGATATTAGATTCTATAAAAATGAAGTAAACACTCAAACAGCTTCCAAGAATAGGGACAAGGGCCCCGAGGCGTGCTGGTAAATTACCACATAAGACACTCTCTTCATCTGGTTTCCAGAAGCCCTCACTTCTCCATCTCCCTCCCACTTCACCAGCTTCTTTCTCCTTTTTTCTGCTTGAGTTTCCTTTCTTTCTTTTTTTTATTAATCCTCACCTGAGAATATTTTTTTCCACTGATTTTTAGAGAGTAGAAGGGAGAGAGAAAAAGGAGAGAGAGAAAAAAACATTGATATGAAAGATACATCGATGGTTGCCTCCTGCACGCACCCTGTCAGTCCAGTCACTGAGCCACACTGGCCAGAGCTCGAACTTCCTCTCTTCTAAATGCTGGAGCCCCCGGTTCTCAATCCTTGAACACCTTTCCAAGGTAATTTCAGTCCTTCCCATCATTTCAAATACCATCTACACTGATGATCCTCAAAGGTGTATCTCTAGCTCACCTCTATTCGGATTTCTAATAAACATTTCAAACTTAAATCTGTCCCAAACCTGCTCTTCCTTCAGTCCTCTCCATCTTCTCTCTTTCCACACACTGCTACAGCAACAATCTATCAGAAAATCCCTTTGAACATTCCAGCCAAATGTAGTATTTCAAATCCAGACATTTAGCATAGCTGCTACATGTCCAAGTCACCCTCTTCTCCCTCCAGATTACTGCAGTCAACATCTTAACATCTCTTCTTGCTTCCACTTCTGACCTGTAGACAATGTTTCACATAGCAGCCAAAGATATTCTTTAAAGCATAAATCTGTCATGTCACTCGCCCGCTCAAAACCTCCCACTAATTTCCTTCTTACCCCTTAGTATGAAATCAAAACTCCTTGCCATGGCCAACAAGACCCTATATGGTCTGGCTACCTCTCCAGACTCATTTACCTGAGTCCCCCAGTTGCCCCCATATTGTTCCCCAAATAAGCCAAGTATACTCCCATCTGCACATACTTTTTGCTCTGCCTAGAATGTTCCTTCCCGAAAACTTGTTGAAATTCACTTCCCCAACATGTCAAGACCTCTGGTCAAATAGCCCTCCCTGACCATCCAATTCAAAATAGTGGCTCGTAATATTTTCTACATTTTTACCCTGCAATCTTTTTCTTCATAGCCCTTCTACCATCAGATATTATTTTCCATTTCATTTTTGTTACTGTCTATCTCCCTCACTGGAATGTAAGCTCAATGAGGGGCCATGTCTTTGTCTTCCTTATTCTCCTGTCTCCTTATCCCCCTGTCTCATTCATCTGTATCACTGGTATCCAGAACAGGGCCTGGTACATGGGGAACTGAAATATTGTTGAATAAACACAACTGAAAATGGATTGTAACTTAAACTTATACAACAGCATAATCTGAAGTGAAACATTCTCTAGGCCATTCAAATAATCAAGTGTGTAAAGTTTGTCTCCTAATTTTTAATTATGAGTTACAGTTTTTAAGTTTTTATCATTTAAAATAATTATAGAGCCTCTACTTTGACGCATTTTTGTAAAATATGTTTGTATTGGTTTTTATTTTTAGAGAGAGAGGAAGTGAGAGAGAAACATCAATGGGCTGTCTCCTGCACGCCCCCTACTGGGGATCGAGCCCTGAAACGCCGGCATATGCCCTGACAGGGAATTGAACCAGGACCCCTCAGTCCATGGGATGACGCTCAATTCACTGAGCCACACCAGCTGGGCTAGAGCCTATACTGTAAAAAACTGTTTTAGCCCTGGCTGGTTTGGCTCAACGGTTACAGCGTCGGCCCATGGACCAAGGAGTCGCAGGTTTGATTCCGAACAAGGGCATGTACCTCAGTTGCAGTTCGTCCTGGGCCCTGGTCGGGGTCGTGTGGCAGACAACCAGTTGATGTGTCTCTCACATCCGTCCCACTCTATCTGAAGATAAATGGAAAAATGTCCTAGGGTGAGGATAAAAAACAAAACAAAAAACTCTTTTAATACATAAAACAATCACATATCCTTTTCAGACTTTGCTCCTTCACTAGTCATATAGAATACCTGAACACAAAGACCTTTTGTTCCTTCTTCTTTGAAAAATATGTCAAATATATATTGTTTATATTTACATAGATAGCATGAGTCAATGATAAATTTGTTTTTAGACTATTTCATCATAATCAATTTGTTACTTCATTATCACAATAGAAAAAATAATTATAAGTCAACATTTTAGATGAAAAAACTATATTCAATTAGACTTTCAGATTTGTGAATCCATCACAAAACTATTTAATTTTTTAACTCAAATCATGTTGTGAATTCATAGCAGGTATACTGAGTGGCTACATTGTAAATAGGCCAGCTATATTTTCAAGAAACTCCTCATAAAATGTGTCTGTGCCCATAAATGAACAAGGCTTACACCTGATTTCTGGACTCAAACTACTAAAAGATAAAAACAAGTGTACAGTAAATATGGAATTGCAATGATTTGATCTCCAAACAGAATAACTCATTATAATAGCCAAAACCATGAACTAATAACTATAATCTTCCACCTCTAAATGCATATGGGCAGAAGTGGTTTTGATTCAGATGCTTAAGGTGGATGGAGGCTTGAGGACTAATGCCTTTTAATAGAAATCTCTCTCCATTGGTATGTCAACACACTGATCTTAACAGACACCATCAATTTTAATTATCCCTGTGCTTACCAATGTTCATCTCAAGCAACTGGTAATTCTGTACTTGATCTTTTTGGAACTCACAGTTATTAAAGAAAGGTAATAGCTACATTTCCATACCTACTTTCTGTTTATCCTTGTAAAGGAATACAATAGGTAGAACTAAATGTAGATAAGAAAAAATGCCTAATAAAGTTTGAAAATAGTCAAATTTGAGATTAGAATAATAAAAACCCAACTTTTCTTCTCAATCTATGTATAATAGTTATTTTTTAAACTACAAATGCAAATTGTGTATATTTTTAAAGAATTTAAAACATTCCTCTAGCCTTTTCCCCTTTCTTTTGATAAATTATATCATTAAATAGCTAATAATCAAATGCAAATGCTGCCCTGGCCGGTTTGGCTCAGCGGTTGGAGTGTCGGCCTGCGGTACAGAGAGACCCGGGTTTGGTTCCCGCTAAGGGCAAGTACCTCGGTTGCAGTTTGTCCCCGGCCCTGGTTGGTCCTGCGGGTGGCAGCCACTCGATGTGTCCCTTCACATTGATGTTTCTCTCTCTCTCTCTTCCTCTCTCTCCCTCCTGCTCTATCTGAACAACAACAAAAAATGTCCTCGGGTGAGGATTAAAAAAAAAAAAATGCAAATGCTAAACCTTGATTAGATCCTGGTTCCAAAGACTATAAAAAGGCATGTGGGGAATGATTACGGAGATTTTAACATGCCAAAGTATTGAAGGTAAAGTATCATGATATCTGCAACTTATTTTCAAGTGATTCAGCAAAAGATAACAAAAGTAAAAAAATAAACATATATGTATAAACACACACATACATAGACAGACCCAGATATGCTAACATGTTATCTGTTGATTCTAGGTAGTCAGTTCTTGAGTATCAATATCCTAGTCTTCAACTTTTCTATATGCCTGAAAAAATTCAAAATAAAAAGTAACAAATGATTGCCTTCAATGTTCAACATGTACAGTACCTGGTTCTTGAATGACGTCGACCTTCCCCACACTGATATGAAGCAGTTCACCATTCTTTGCAAATGCCTCCCATTCTGAATCAGTCTGCTGGCAAGATGGACACCAAGGGGCATAACTATAAAAGAAGAATAGATAATCAATATAAACATATGAAAATAACTTAAAACTAAATAGAAAAATAAAATATTTAAATTAAAAAAATAAAACTATCTAAAAGGAAGTACAAAGCCTTTCCAAAGTCATTTGATATAAAAAAAAAAACAGCAGCGTATCTCCCCCAGAATTTAATGTATAAATATTAATTCACTGGGAAAAAGTAAGCCAAAGTTTAAGATTTTCACAAACTACTGTAATACATAAAACATTTTATTTCAAAGTTATTCTTACAATCAACCCAAAGTTTGTCACTTTCTAGGCAGCTTTTGATTTCTGAGGGAGAACACTATTTGACCACTCTACTAAAGGAGGACAGTTTTCACAAGGGAGTCCCGAAACTAGCCAACCAGTTTAGGATCCATCAAAGCTACAGATCTGATGAGCAGAGACCAGAAAGTCTGCTGCTAGTGAGTCCCCAAGTATGTGAGTCACTTCCAAAGATCTATGGCAGTTCTGGACCAGTCCAAGAAAGGAAGTAGAAGCTATGGGCTAAACCAGCTCTACCCAACACTTTCCTAAAGAGAAGTAGTTAGAAAAAATTGGCCCTTCAACGAGAACTCTGGTTTTAACACTAATTTTTTTTCAGTCAATAAACCTGAACTGCGCACAATGTTAGAAGCTGAGGCCACAACTATGAATGAGACAGATGTGATACCTCCTCTCCTGTGGATACAATCCAGAGATAAACATTGGTAAGTACAGGGAAAATTAACAATCCAGGTGTCAAATACCACGATTAAGAGTATGGAACAGATGTTGTGTAGACACTCAGGAGATGGGTGGTCTCAGAAGGGCCCACAAAGGAAAAATGCTTCTGTGCCAAGATCTAAAGTTAGGAGTTAGCCAGAGAGGGGTCAAAGAATGTTTTTTGTTTTTTGTGTGTGGTACGTGCCCCTAGCGGGAACTGAACCCGGGACTCTCTGGTCCGCAGGCCGACACTCAACCGCTGAGCCAAAATGGCCAGGGCCAAAGAATGTTCTAAGTAGAAATAGGGTGAAGACATTATCCACAGCCTTTAAAAATAATTGTATAATGCGTTAGGACTTTATTTGAAGCTCCATGGTAAATTCTAAAGAGTAAGAGAATTATGATCAGATTTACATTTTTAAAAAATAACTGGGCAGCTTGTGAATAACAGATCAGGGAAGGATAAGATGGAAGCAGAGAGAATTGGAAGTCTGGGGCATCCCTACTGGCAATACGCTAATGGCTTTACAATGCTTTCCCATGGTCCTAGAAAATATCACAAATACTCAGACCACAAAGCTCTGACGTTGTCCAGGATTTCGCCTACAGATGTAAAATGGGAATCCAGAGAAGTTTGCTGTTTAGAAAGTGTGGATCAAATACGATCCTCTAAAAAGGTATGTTCAAGGCCTAAGCCTCAGTACCTGTAAATGTGACGTTATAATTAAATTAAAGGTCTTGGGATGAGATCATCCTGAATTTAGGTTAGGCCATAAATCCAATGACTGGATTTCTTTCTTCCAAGAGAAAGAAAAAAGAGATTTGACACAGAGACACAGAGGGAGGCCATGTGAAGATGGAGACAGGTGTTAGGGGCAGCTATAAGTCAAGGAGCACCCCGGATTCTAGCAGCCTCCAGAAGCTAGAAGAGGCAGGGAATGGATACTCTCCTAGAGCCTCCAGAGGGGATCATCTATGCTAAAATGTGAAATTGGGATTTTTGGATGCCAGAATTATGAGAACAAATTTCTGATGTTTTAAGCCACCAAGTTTGTGGTAATTTACAGCAGTGCGAGAAAACTAATGTAGAAAGGAAAATACCATTTGAAATGGAAAGAACTTGAGAGCAGATCTTCCTTATGATGACTTAAAGAGCTGGTAGGGCTATGCTTAATATAAATTATTGTGAACAAACAAAACATTTGCTGTAAATCCACTTTAGAATACTAACATATGGCACAATTAAAAGGAATATTAACATGTACAGAATAATGTCACAAAAATACATGAGTACAACTAGAGAGAGATTTTGTTTGGCTTAATACTCAGAAGAAGAAAGCAGTAAATAAAACAAATTAATCAATGCTCACAAAACAGAACAGGATACTCTAGACAAAAAAATCATGGGCACTTAGAATAATATTTTAAGATGTCACCAACTGGACAATATATTTTAAAAATCTGCTTAAATCTGTTTAAAGTATACTTTTTAAAAAACCTTTAACTCAAGTCAAAATATTGATGGAATACAGTAATATTAAAAAGGACTTGTTATCACTGAATTGTTTATGTATAATGGGTAAATGTTAGCATATGTAAATTATGCCACCAAAGAGTAGAGGGTTGGGTATACAGATGAAGCAAGCTTGGCAATATATTGATAGCTATTGAACCTGCATGATGGATGATGAGGGCTCATTACACTATTTTATTTTGTGAAAAATTGTCATAATAAATAGTTTAGGTTTTTTTAAGACTTGCTTAAATAAAAAGATATACCAAGTTCTGGATGAGCAGGCTCAGCACTATAGAAACATCAATTTCCCCCAAGTTATCTTCCATTTTTGATTCCAGAATTGTTTTTACAAAATGTGGCATCTATTATTTATACGTTAAGATAGGGAAGGGATATGGGGGAGAAACAGGGGTAGGAAAGAATGCCTGCCATATAACTCTCTCTCTCTCTCATCTCTCTCTCACACACACACACACACACACACACACGGACAAAAAGGGGCCACATGCTAACTTGACAAGCTCAGGGAAGGGCTGTGTGACAGCCTTGCAAACTCAAAAACCTAAAATAACCACCAAGAATGGTTTGAAATTTAAATTTTTTAACTAAAAGCAGTTTATGGCGGGTAGTCGTGTCCTAGGCAGGCATCTTCCTTGACAAAGGTCAATTTTCACCTTAATTGAGCCTGTTGCCTTTTTTTTTCCACCAACAATAACATACCTTTGGAATGAGGGGTAACTTCCTTTTTATCAGACCCCTCAGGGCACAACCTATTCACCAGGGTAAGAGTGAGGGGGCACAAATCCCCTCATTGTTAGTAACATGTTCATTGTTGACTGTAAATTATCCTGTACCTACCTATGTAAAAGAAAGATGTGTCTAACATTTTGCTTATTTTTAAATATGTTTTTATTGATTTTTTTGTTTGTTTGTTTTTGAGAGAGAGAGAAAGGGAGAGATAGAAACATCTTTGTGAGAGAGAAAAGTGATCGGCTGCCTCCTTCATGCCACCTACTGGGGATCGAGCCCACACCCTGGGCATGTGCCCTCACCAGAAATCGAACTGAGACTTCTCAGTCCATGAGATGACACTCAATCCACTGAGCCACACCAGCCAGGCTATCGTTTACTTTTAACCCAATCCCAGAGATTTCTCTGCTTTGCTTTTTCCCACCTCCCTAATGTATCACCAATGGATTTCACACGTAACCCACTTAGCCTTCTCTTTTGATTGTAATGTATAAATTAAGGTGCAAAACTGCCATTCTCCAGAGCATTATCTCAATCCACCGAGGTTTTGTTTCCCGGCATCTGTCGACAGTTTGGCTCAAATGAACTCACAGAATTCTTCACAGGTCTGAATGTTTCTTACACTGACATACACATAGGGGGAAAATGCCTTAGGAAAGGGAACAAAGGGGAAAGTGCTGACATGCAAGCACCTTCTCTATGTCACCCCAACTTCACTGCGCATGCACCCATTTCCCCCTTTGTTGGAACCCTTCCCCCGGCGATCTGCTGGGAATGGATAGGTAGTTCCCCAGGGAGCTTGAATCTTGCTTCCTGGTGAAGCTGCCCAGATAATCATGTTTATAATGTCTGGTCTCCCCTTTGCTCTCTACCTATTATTAATATTAATAAATTAGCTAATTACAACAATAACATTTGGGCAGGTTAATAATTCTTCCATGCCTAGCTTCAACTGTAAAATGAGATAGCCGCAGCTCTCTTAGAAGGTTACTGGGAGATTAGATGACACAGGTAAAGCAAGCACATATCATGAACAATTATTAACACTAATTATGTTTGTAATATACTGCTTGGTTTCTATTAAGCACACACACACAAAATTAAACCAAGTAAATTTAGAGATCGAATTTGCTTTATTAAGCAATTCATGAATCAGGCAGCATCCCATCTACCAACTAGAAGGGTACTCTTGTGGCCTTGCAGAAAACGGAAGAGTTTTTATAGGAAGAAGAGTGGGGCAAAGGAGTATTAACAAAAGAAAAGAAAGGATTATTTTTAAACCAGGACACCTTTTCTTTGGGGGAAGAGAGTTGAGAGAGCGGTTTTTATCATGCAGATTGCCTCTTCTTTTCTAGGGTGGGGAGCAAACAGATTACCTTACTTGTGATTGACCAGAAAATTCCAGACTGGTTGATTAAGATTATGTTTCCTGGTAAGGCTGAAACTGCCATTAGATCAGGTGTTAAACTTAGGTTTGGCACCATGGGCCTTCTGCACCAGTGACGCCATTTTGGGCCTGTGGTTTTTCTTTAACATTTCCATGGCACTTTTCTGACACATTAGCTCATCTGAACCTTACAAACTCACTGGCAGACTGGCAGGTTTAGAGAGACTTGTTTAAGGTCACCTAAAACCACACAGAACAAGAACCCAGGTGGAGGTATTTACCTGACAAAAACCTCCAAGGAAAATAATACCTACTATCAATAAAGAGGGAAGGGGAGGGGGAGGGAGAGGAAGATGGAGGGAATGGGGGAGAGGAAGGACGAGAGAAGGAGAAAAAGAGGGAGAGAAAGAGGAGACATAAAAAAGAAATTACCAAAAATAAGAAAGAAATCTTGAAGTGCAATTCAATGAACTCTAGATCCTCTTTGCTTTGTTTCCCTAAACCTCTGTTTTTGCATATGGAAACATTTGCGATTTCAGTAATTAGTAAAGCATACAAATTTCATCACTTAAAAAAAATCCCAATCCCTAATCTCTAGACAGGCTATTATATAAAAATA